GTGCAAAAAAAATACTGACAACAAAAAACCTACCACTACTTTAATACCACCTGAAACAGTTAATAAATAAGACCATTGACTTTGGTTTTTCTATTTTGCTTTTGCAGCATGCCTTAAAAGCAATTACTATTCCATTACTGTTCACACAAGAGAAAATTTACCAGCTTGTAATTTAGAGGCAAGGGGAGTAGACAGCAGAAAGGGAGCCACCCACTACGGTTTCTAAGAAGCAACAACAGCCTAAGTGTTTAAAAGACACAACATTCATTGCACCAAGCAATAATCCAAACATGTTTGTATGTCTACTCATGAGACAGAATCATCAGTGAAAAGTAGGTTGACAGATGAAGAATGATGGAAAAAGACAATAGGAAGAGGCAGAAGGGAGAACATCTTTAGGCCCAAATTGTTATTTCTGGCCCATTAAAATATCAACATCCAAATGAAAACTGCTGGTCTCCAAAGAAAACTCTTATAAAAAATGAACCATAATTCAAATACTACTGTACACCCAGGGAGAGTAAAGAAAACCTAACATTTATAGCCTAAGAAAAGTGGCTGTAGTTTCATATACACATTTCTATAAAATTCTCACATTTTATCAGACCTATGGCATGACTCTTAATAGCTTTCAGAGGGAGAGAAATAAAATACAAGGGGCACATTTCAGGTAAAATGGTCTTTTAATGTTCCACCCAAGAAAATCTTCTAGGTTCCTTCACTTTAAAAAGAATTACCCTACATAAAGTAAATGTACCAAGGGTAAAAGGTAAATCTCATGTTTCCTTTCAGGAAACATAAATAGAAGTACTATTCAGGGGGAAAAGGGCCAAATATTATCAACTCATATATCCTTCAGATTATGACTCCAATAAGCAGCAGGTAAAGACAGAAAGCACACAAATGCTTCTGAAAAAAAGCAAGACAGAATTAAACCTCAAAACTCCTTTACCTGCCTAGTACACAAATAGCTTAATAGCAGCTAACAAAAGATTCAAACAAGGGGCTTCTTTAGTTCATTGCTTTCCAGAAACATCTTCTAGATGTAATCTCAGTCACTGACTCCTTTGACAACCCCTTAAGTGTCTGAGAGCCAGACTGTCTTCCAGTCTTATTTCATTAAATTCAAAATTTCTAAAGTTTTTTTTCTCTTGCTTGGAAAGCATTTTTTTTTTTTTTTTAAGGTTTCAATTCAATTGATTTCCAGAGGCGAAACCAACTTCACCTGAAAAGCATCTATTTTAAATTTAAGAAAGCTTTGAAGGTTTTCTGGTGAAAAACAGAAACCTGATCAATAGTGTTATTGAAAACATGACTAAAAATAAAGTCACATTTATCTGTAGTTGTGGCTTTTATTAAAGCAGCTTAAATCTTTTGCAAATAAGCTTTTCCAGAGAGGTAGATCGATAGGATGCACAGGGAGGCAGGATTACCTGTGATCCACGGTGCAAAACCCCATCAATGCCACAGGAAGAAAAGGAGTAGCTGTTGAGATATTTGAAACCTGAAAAACCCTACCACCTCCTTCTCCAATGAACAGTCCCATTTCTGTGGCTAAGATTCACACTGAAACTTCATTTGCAAATGGATTTGGCTGTTAACATAAGAGTGTTCAATGCAAATATTTCTTTCCTGGCGGTGCAGCAAAGTTGAAAGGAAAGGCTGAAAATTAGTTAGCTGTATGAGATGACAAAGCACCATTCCAGTTACCAGGGAGAAATAATTGAACACAGATTGCCTGTTTCGTCTTTAATTTAATTTGGAGACCTTTCATCCTTTGCTTTCCTTCATTTGCAGCCAATACTTAGGGAGCTAATTTGTACCTGGTTCATTTTCCTCCTTTTATCTTATCCACTTTAACATCAACCATGGAAATTGGAAGCACCATGAATAAAAGATGAAACCTGACTTGGGGTATTCTTTCCTTAAGTACTGTGAATTACTTAAAAACTAATTGGTGTGCATGCACAGTATAAAGGGCTGAGATATATGCCTCAGCCCTATAGCATTCCTAATCAGCATCTCTGCTTTCCCCCAAGGAGCTGCAGATTTTCAATGTTTTATCCGGTCCTACCTTTTCTCCAGAGAACAATGTCTAAACTGTAATTTACACGGAATCATTAATCTGAGAATGGGTGTATGGTAGGCTGTCTCATTAATAAACCTAAGGGTTTCCAAATTCTGGAAAATGCACAAGACTAATAATTCATAAATTCCACTAGCCTAATGAGTTCATTAATGCTTGCCATGCACGCAAAAGGTTATAATAAAGAAAACTGGCTGGGCGCGGTGGCTCACGCCTGTAATCCCAGCACTTTGGGAGGCCGAGGAGGGCGGATCACGAGGTCAGGAGATCGAGACCATCCTGGCTAACACGTGAAACCCCGTCTCTACTAAAAATACAAAAATTAGCCGGGCGTGGTGGCGGGCGCCTGTAGTCCCAGCTACTAGGGAGGCTGAGGCAGGAGAATGATGTGAACCTGGGAGGCAGAGCTTGCAGTGAGCCGAGATTGTGTCACTGCACTCCAGCCTCGGCGACAAAGCGAGACTCCATCTCAAAAAAAAAAAAAAAGAAAAGAAAAGAAAAGAAAGAAAACTGAATGTATTAGCATACATACATGTCAAACAGAGCCCTAATCTGTCCAAAAACATTGCTGGTGGGGGAATGGTAGGAAAGGTACTAGTCATAAAATTACTGTCTAGGTGTGACCTCCAAGGAGCTAGAAGACTTAAATTCTAAGTATGTCATGCCTATTATGCTTAAAATGACAACAAAAACAACAAACCTGTTGTATATTTTGTATATGTGGCACCTCAACATTAAAAAATGTTGCATATGCTCTTATTTTGATTATTGCATTACTTCCAATTGTACAAAAGTTTAGTGTCTTGAAAGTTTTGTGTGTTTTCCTTTATAATGTCCTCTCTGACAATACTATTTTTCCTCCTTACTCTCACCTCATTTTATATTTTCCCCCATATGGACTAATGAAAAACCTACTGGAATTTTCTCCTGATGCTTAATATCCCCCACCAACAAGCCCTCCTTTCAGCTTGGGAAGCATCAAAGGAAGGCTGTGTCCTGAATCATTTCACTGCCTGCATGTGCCAACTCTTCTAACACCTCACACCAAGAGGCTAGAAGCTCAGAATAAACTGAATCATTCCTCCTTCACAATGTAGCCTCCTACAATATTCATTAACAGTAACGTGCACTATTTTATTTCAATAAGACCACATATTTTCACAGACGAGGCAACTTCCAAGTTGTAGAAGAAAAAAAAAAGACCTTGCAGTTGAAAAATTATGGTGCATTGAAATGTACAGTCTTCACTTCAGACGCAAGCCCCTTTTATTTTTTTGGAGGGGGGAGCGCTGAAGCAGGATTAAAAGACCAATTAAAAACGTCAGATGGTATCTCTAATCTTGGGTTGAGTAAGGACCATACTATACAATGCCAAGCTTATTTATTCATCTGGAGAAACAAGGAAAGAAAGTCCTCTACAGTGAAAGGATGGAAAAGAAAAGAAGAAGAACAATTACTGTGCCTTTTATTCATGAAAGAGAGGATGAATAGAAATGAAGGCGGCAATTACCTTTAAGAATTTTTTTTTTAAAGCCACAAAGAAAAATTAAACTGGAAGAGTACAGAATAGTTCTGCCCTGAGGTTAAGAAAGCAAACCAGAGATGAGGATGAAAGTGTGGGGAGCAGTTAGGGTATCTGATGACCAGACACACAGATTATTTTAGGAGTTCAGTGTCCAACTCACACATAGTATTTTCCCAATGTCCAGTTTACTTGGGAGAAGAGGAATTGGGGCGGGGGGCAGGGGGAGTCTCTCCGAAGCAGGACGTCAAGAAGTTTCAGGTGGAGGAAGGCAACAGTCTCACAGGGCGTCAAATCAATCAAGAAGATTTTCTTTGGCTGTAATTGCGTAGAGAGAAGAAAACTGACAAAACCCATGCCACTCAGTCTCATTTGCAGGCTGCACACACACACACCGCAAGATACCAGCCTCAAGGAAGAACACCTGTTCTAACTCTGTGCCTGCTGGGGTTGTGTGTGCGCCCGCAGGGAACTCAGGGGCCATTTCAACAGCAGGGAGCCGGGCTGCACTCAGGACCTCACAGAGAGCACCAGGACGAGGCAAAAGGCCCCGCCAAATGCGTCCTGGCTAACTCGCCAAAAAGAGGCCTTAGAGAAAGGGCGTGAAAAGGGACCAGGCAGCCCAGATGATTACCTTGGGCTGCAAAAAAGACATAACCACAGGGCAGAACAGTTTATTTTCCAGAAAGGATTTTCTTGCAAACAAAACAAAACAAAACAAAACAAAAAAACACAAATGTAATCTGGAGGGTCAGAAAAGACTTTTGTGAGGTGTGGGAAAGAGGAAGGACCGCCACAGAAGTCAGTGTTTCTTCTAACAACCATTTCCGTGCCAGTGGGCGACAGTAGTGAAATTTCTCTCTAGGCTATCTCCACCTTTCTCCCTACATGGTCCTAGACTGAGAATCACACCTGTAGGCACTGAAAGGCCTCGAGTAACACCACGCCTACCCGCTCCTCACCGCCCCGCCGCCACCCCCTACGGTGCAGGTCCCTCCCTGATCTCCTCTCGCAGCCAGCGCCTGCAGGTCTAGGCTCCATCCTCAGGTCGGCAGGAGCCCGGCCCCTGGAAATCATTCCCGCGCCTCACACCTGTGCTATTCTCTTGACCCCCCCCCCCCCCCACACACACACACACAGAAAAGGCAGAGAAGACTCCCGCCCCTTGAGCCACAGTGATCCTCTCACACACACCCCTTCCACACCCACGGCCAGCGGAGGCTGCGGAGTGCCAGCAAGGAGCGGCTCCACTCGGTGCCCCGAATGCGCGTATGGAGAACTGAGAACTCAAAAGTGCACCCGGAGTGCAAGGGGCGTGTGGCTGCAGCCTGGCCGGCCCGGGCGTCCCCCAACCGCGCCCTCGCCCACCCAGTGGGGCGGGCTGGCCTCTACCTCCTGGAAGAGCTCCAGACTATAGGTGTTGTCGTCGTCAGCGAAGAAGAGCACGCCAGGCTGCGCGCGCTGGTGCTGGTGCCTCTGGCGCAGCCAGGCGAGGCCCGCGTTGCGCTGCTCAGTGGCGCGCGGCAGCCCGGGCCGCTTATAGCGCCGCGGCGTGGGCACGTGCAGGTGCGTGCTGGGCAGCCCGGCCCGCGCCAGAAAGCGGCTCACCAGCTCGCTGCGCGCCGCCGCGTCCTCCACCAGGATCCAGTGCAGCTGCGCCACCTGGCGGAAAGTGTTGGCCAGGCGGGTCAGCTCCGCTTTCTGCACCGGGCGGCTGTAGGTGGGCGTGATGGCATAGATGGTGGGCAGCTGCGGCTCCGGCTGAGGCTGCGGCCGAGACTGGTTGCGCTTTTGGGTCCCGTGAGCCGGGCCGCCCCTGCGGAGCGGGAGTCGGGCACCCCCGCGGCCCACCGCGTAGGGAGAGAAGTAGGGGCGCGGGGTGAGGGGAGGCGCCGGCTTGCGCGTGTCCACGTCGAGCATGATGATGACAATTAGGATCCAGGGCAGGAGGATGAAGAAGCGGGTGAACAGCACGGACTTCATGGTGCACACTCCCCGGCCTCGCGGACACACCAGAGAGGGGCGAGCCGAGGGACCCCAGTGCGCAGCTTGGACGGCGGCGGGGCCAGCACTTAGGAAGTGGTGACGGGTGCGCTGTCCATGGGGCCGAGGGCGCTGCAGAGACCTGAAGCCGCGGGGCTCACTACCTGGGCGTGGAGGAGCGGCAGGTTCGGGCAAGCTAGAGCGATAAGGGGTGCAGGCGAGCGGGCAGGGGCTGCTCCCGACTCCGGGTGAGCTGGCGGGAAACGGGACTCGGTCCAGCCGCGCGCCGCCGGTCCCAGAGTTGTGCCGAGTGCGGGGAAAGCGCTGATCCCCACCGCGCTCTTGCCGAAGAGTGGGAGCCGAGAAGCGGCACCCGGCGCACCTCGCCGCTCCAGTCCCGCGGTGCTGCGGGGACAGGGGCTCCAGCGGCGGGCCCCCAGGATGCTCTCTGGGACGCCTTCGAGGGCGGGCGGCGGCGCTGGGGGCTTTCCTTCCTCACATTCCCGCCGGGGTGGCGAGGAGCGGGAGGAGACGCTGGGGGTTGTGGCCCCGGCTGTGTTCGCGCGCCGCAGCGGAAGCCTGCGCTCAGTCCCTAGCTCTTGTCTTCTCAGAACCTCTCCCGGATCCAGCAGCAAGATCCCAAACCAAGGAAAGAAAGAAAAAGCGAGGGGGCGGGGGCGCTGCAGACTCCAGCGTCCTCCCAAGTCCTCCTGTGGGAAGACAGCAGCACTGCTACTGGCGGAGGGGGGCTGCGAGAGGGAGGCGGGGAGGGGCCCCCCGGCCCTCCACCGGGTCTGGCGCTAACGGCCCCGCGAGCAAGCTCGGGAGGCAGCCGCTGCACCGAGGGTGGAGGAGCGGGAGGAGCGACCCCGTGGGGCTGCACGACCTCCGGGAGAGGGTGATGCTCGTTCACCTCTCTTTAGCTTTGTGAAATACCGCAAGGTCTTTGGAGATAAGCCAGGAAAATCCATTCACGTGCGGAAACTTGCCGGGCTACGCGCTTTGGTGCTGATTCCTAGGGTTCCGAGTGAAAGGAGGGGAGAAAGCGAAGGGATCCCTCCTCCTGCTCCCAGCTGCCGCGTTGATGTGCTGGTGTGTATCGAACAGCGGCAACAAAAAGCGCTTTCACTGCAAGGCAGACATCAGTAGGAGCCCACGGAGATGCAGGGGTGCAGCACATAGGTGTTTGGCTTGTGAGATAGTCCATAAGAAAGAATCAATTCGGAGGGCTGCTGCCTGACTGCAGTTTGATCATGGGGGGGTTGGGGGGGGGGCGGGGGCGGTTCCTAAAACTCCAGCTGAGCATGTTTAACTATTTTTCTTCGGTAATTTGGAGTCAGGGTCCCTCCCAGTTCTTCGCTGTCACCGGAATTATTCCGTTCAACCCTCCCAAGGCTCCTGTCAAGAAGGCCTAGGAAGTAGAATCGCCTTCATTTTCAGGATGAGGAAGCTGAGGTTTAGGGTTTAAAATAATTTTTCTGAGGTCAGTGGCAAGTGGCATAGTGGAAATAGAATGTGGGTCTCCTGCGTTTATCTATAGCAAGTGGCGTCCTCACTGCATGGCCTGCAGAAATCCCACCCGACACAGCCGGGTTGGCCTTCCTAGATATAAAGATGGTGCCATTAAAATCAAACAGAGGGTACCATGACTAATAGATACCATAGGTACCATGATAGGGGTCTGGAAGACCCCAAGTAAGCACTTGGCACTTAGTTTAGACACTTTTTGCCTAAAAGTCCAGCCGGTCTACTAGCTGAGTGCCTGACCTTCTGTAACTTACCGGGAAGAAGGGCTGTGCTTCCCAGGCAGGTCCCAGGGAAGTGCTTGCAAAGCAGAAGGAAAGCTCCAGACTCTTCTGCCCTAGCCTATGATAAATAATTTCTGAGCCCATCTTGTCTGGGTTGTCTGCCTTTCTCAGGCTTGTTCACAGATAAACCTCTCTCCGACTGTGCGTTCTGGTGCAACTGAGAGCTCTGGGGCGAATGGCTCTCCAGCCTTTTCTGACAGCTCCTCTTCTCCCAGTCCTGAACCCCCCACCTGTTAAAAGGCATTGGCTCATCTGTGAATTTCCCTAACTACTTCTTCAGATTCTGAAACCTGAGAGTGAAATTTCAGACTAACACCCAGCCACCCCAACAACTCGCTAGAGCTTGCCTTCTGTCCCAACTTCCCTGTGCTATCCACAACTCATACATTAAGCTCTGCAGATTAGTGCATTCTAAACATAGGAAACAACGAAGCCATTAGACCTCTTCCCATATTCTCGAATAGCCTAATGTGCCTCTGAATATAACACAACTTTGGAAATGTATTCTGCGCCAGCATCATGCCAGGATGGGGAAGAGGAAGGAAGTCAAGGCTTCCCTTTAAGAAAAGGTTTTTCTTAGAAAGCAGTGCACCCCTCTCCCCTAGGTTACTGAAGTCTGGTTCATCCTGTTGGAAATTTTAAATTTGGTTAAAATGACCTGTGTTTGCTGGAGTAAAACTCAAGTGGTTTCTGAATTGTACTAAAAACTTCACTAACCTTTGTTAGTGGGGAACTTTTGGTTGGTCCAACTAGGCCATAAAACCTATTTCCTATTGCATCCTCTTCAGGAACCAGGGCTATTCAGAGATGAAACACTGTCTGTGTGTGTGTGTGTATGTGAGAGAGAGAGAGAGAGAGAGAAAGAGAGAGAGAGAGAGAGAGAGAGAGAGAGAGACAGAGTCTCTCTTCAATGCCAATGCTGGGGTGCAGTGACTTGAACACAGTTCACTTCAGTCTCGACGTCCTGGGCTCAAGCAATCGTCCTGCCTCAGTTTTTTGAGTAGCTGGAACTACAGATATAAGCTGCTACACCCTGCTAATTTTTTCATTTTAGTTTTTGTAGACTGGGGTCTCCTGTTACCCAAGATGGTCTTGAACTCCTGGGCTCAAGCAGTCCTCCTGCCTTGGCCTCCCAAAGTGTTGGGATTACAGATGCGAGCCATTGTGCCTAGCCCAAACCACTTTCAAACTCAATCGAATTTGCAGTTTGAGACTTTAGCTCATGCCCAGAATTCATGGGTGTCATAAAACACAACACTTAATTAGCACATCACAAACTGTCACTTCATTTTTTCAATTACCCTTAGCATTTGTACCCAGGTGGACTTCATTCAGTCATCTGTTGGGGAGCTTCATGGTTCTTGGAGTCAGGCAGACCTGGGTTTGAGTCCCATCTGGGATACTTTCTACTGTGCAACTTTAGAAAATCAGTGAACCTCCCAAGGCCTGTTTCCTCATTTGGAAAATGGGGTTAATAATACATACTCCATGGGAATCTTGCAAGGATTAAATGGTATATGTTGGGTACTTTGAAGAAGAGTTATTATTACACAGGCAGTCAATAAATGATATTTAAATACAGATAACCCTTCCTCAAAAGAACACCTTAACACAAGAGATCCTGATGGATCATTGTTATCAAATGAATATAAAATTAATTCTAAACAGGACTGATAATGCTTCTAAATAGTACCTCTGCTTATAGTGAAGATGATTCCTAGAGCGTATGTTAGGGTCTTCCCAAGTTGCTGTAGGGAGGGGAACAAAGAAGAAATCAATTTACCCCAAATACAAGGTATAGCTTGTCATGCAATAAGGATGACATTCCAAGTGACATTTATTTCAAATGGCTGAATATGCTATATTGTTTTGCATTAAGCCACTCAATATGTGGCCCCGAATCTCTCATGATTAAATCTGAGCAAAGATATAAGATACAAAAGTTATTATTAAGGATGTCCATTTGAAGTAGAAAACCAGGGCAAAACATTTTTAAGTGCAAAAACTTACTTTAAAAATATGTCACAAGTCTATCAGGAGCTGGAATGGAAACAACTCCTTTAAATGGGAGCTTGGAAAAAATGTCATTTTTATGAAGCATAATCACTAAGTAAGCTATAGTACTTTTCCATATAGCTTATGATATTCTTACATAAAACAATTTAAGCTTGATCTGTGGCTGATAAGGTTGCTGGAAGTCACTAGAGTAATTAAAATAATTACCTAACTTTGGAGCATCTGCATATCCTCTCAGTGTTTATTTTCATTTAATCTCTCTAATTATTTGTGTAGCAAAGTGAGCATTGCTTCATCTGTACTAATGAAGCCTTAGATTGCTGGCATCAGCCACTGCATTTCAGCATTCAGTTGTTGTTCTCAAATAAACAAAGGTAAAAAAAAAAATCCCATTTGGGGAGTTAACAAAAAACATATCATATAATCAGTAAACATTTACATTTTGCCTTGATGAGTAATATACAACTGTAACTTCAGCAGCAGAAAGATTACAGTATGGTTGGTGCACTGTACAGAACTGATCCCATTTGACATTTGAGCCTGGGGTTCTGCTAGCGTGACTAAATCAATCTTCAAGTAAGCATTTGGGGACATCTTTGATATTCTTAGTCAAGTAGGAAAAGGGTTGTTTAAAAACTATACAAAAGTATTTATAAATATATAATATTGTAGTTATGCAAATTAGGTTTTGAAGAGAATCAGAACTTACATTATTACTCTTAGTAATAATGTAATGTAAAAGTATTGATAACCAATGTCCACATGCATGTGAACATAAATACCTTCTATTAAAATATCAGACACAATTATGTGAAAGAATGATATCAAAATAAATCTAATAGCCCCAAATTCCAGGGATACATGACAGTTTCATTGATAACTGTCAGAAAAATGACATCTAAACTACAAATTAAATGGCTCATTTGTTTTTTTTTCATGCATCTGGATCCTCTACAAATATCACTTTTTGCCTAGAATTGTTCTAAATTATAATGTTTCCTTAACATTTTAGACATTTGCAGCTATTATGTACAAAATGTGACATTAGAGGTAGTTCAGTAAAATCCCATTTTTATAGGATGGGTTAGGAACACGGTTTTTCAGTAAAAGTGATTTTCTAGAAAAGTAGAAATTGGCAATTTACCTTAACAATTCCATTGAAAACTAATTCCATTCAGTGTGAATAAGAGCTGATGATGTAACATACCAGTGTTCCCTCCTTTCCTTTTATTAATGGATTAGAATGCACAAAAACCCAATAAAATGTGCATAAAGACATACTGGCATTCTTTCTTTTTTCCCCTCACTATCTTAAAAATTGGCATTTACATTAAAATAGTAATTTGTTAGACATGAATTTTATTGTAAAACTACATAACCTACCTTTCCGGTTGTTACAAAAATCAAAGTAGATAACATAGATGAATGTAGTTTTAGACACTATAGTTTATAACTGTAAGGGAATCTCCCTCTATCTTACAGGAGGGGGATGCAACATCACTGGCCATGGGTTGTAATTGTTGAAACTGGGAAAGGAAGACCTGGGGTTCCTTATATTATTGGGCCTATTTTTGCATATGTTTCAACATTTCCATGATAAAAAATTAAAATATGTAAAATAGGTTATGTTCTACCACTTGTTTGCCAAGATAATACTGCTTCCAATTGCTCTTGTTTTAAGAACCACATCAAGGGCCTGATTTGTGCAAAATATTATGGGTTGAATGTGTCCCCTCAAAATTCATCCATCAAAGTCCTAACCCCCAGTACCTCAGAATGTGACCTTATTTGGAAACAGGGTCATTGCAGATATAAGCAGCTGAGGTGAG